TTTAACAGAGGGGCAGCCGTGGTGCTGAGGGACGTGGGTTGGTGGTGGGTTTGGCAGTGTGAGGTTAATGGTTGGACTTGATGATCTTAAAGATCCCTTCCAACCTCAGCAATTCTATGATCCTATGGGCAGAAGAGGAGCGTGCCCAGCTCTAATCTCCGAGTCCCCAACCTCCTGGGCACGTCCTGGGGCAGCGTCCAGAGTCAGCTCCTCGCAGCAAAACGCAACTTGGCACAAGGTTTGCTTCCTCGGGGAGGGTTAAATCCAGAGTTAGGAACCGAACTGCTCCCTCCAACCTTCCTTCCCCGAGCTGCTGAAAGGCAGAGGGTGAGGGGAAAGGAGGCAGCGAGGTTACCGAGGAGAGCCCAGCAAAAGAAATGATGAAATGCTCTGATGAAAGCTTCCGGCTGTCGTGAGAGAATTAACGGATCCAGGGGTTGTCAGCTGAAGGGGAGAGAAAGTGCCCGGGCCCGCTGCAGAGCACCCGGGAGGGACAATTAATTCCCCTTTGCGATAATTCTGCCGGAGCCTCCGTTGTACGGAACGATTCCAGTGAACCTCTCTGGCAGCCGCTCTCCTCTGCCCATGACCTGATGCTGCAATCTCTCGGCAAGCGGCGGAGGGGAGACCATGACTCAGAGAGCTGTGCTGACGGAAAGCAGAAGGGGAAGAGGCTTCAGAGCTCCTGCCTGCTCTTGCCTGCCGATAGGCAGAGCGTCAGCACGCTGGCGGGTCACACTGCTGGGCCCGGTGGCCTCTGGCACACGTAGGACGCTTTAATGAGCAGGAAGGTCTGCCTGGTCCGTGGTGCGGAGGGACCTTTTGACCATCTCCCATCTCTCAGGCCACCAGGGACAGCGCTTTCCCAGCAGCACAGTGCTGCTGGTGCAGTTCTTCTCCCGAGTAGACTCCTCCAGAGTCAGGATTCGGCCCCCTGTGGCCTCTCCTCCATCCCCCTGCCCAAGCGATGTCCTACACAGGTCTAATTTAGGGACCTTCTGGCTGCAGGAGTACAACTGGTGGCTGTGCCTGACACCTGGGCAGCAGCACACACGGTGACGGCAGCTTTCAAAGTCTCCTGTGCCGGGGTCTGACCTTTCCTCAAGCGCACCCAGAGCCAAGGAACCACCTTTCGGGGGATGCTTCAGCCTCTCGGGTAAGGCTGCGCTTAGGTCAGGGTTTTCCTTTGACACTTGTTGACCCTGTCTGAGCCCAGGTGCCCGGCAGGGTCCCCCTGAGAAGGGGCGTCCCAGAGGATGTCATGTGCAGGCTCTGTAGAGAAGAGGGTGAGCAGGAAAGGGGCCGGGAAAACCTGACACCAGCCCTGACTCCTAAACCACCTGTACCGTGTATAACCCTCCTTACACGCGCCGCTGGGGCTGGATCTTCTGGGCTGGCTAAAAAACACGCTGTCCCCTTGAGAAGACATTTGCCCTGAGCATCACCAAGCACCCTCCTATCCCCCATCAACCCCACGGCCGCCGTCCCCCTGTCCAGCGGGCACCGGGGTTCCCCCTCCATCACCCCCTGCTCTGGGTTGGCAGCGCTGCTCTGGGTTGGCAGCGCTGCCGCCGCTCACGCTCCTCCTGTGCTTTTCAGCAGCGCTGGGAGCAGCCAGAGCAGTTGGGGGGGCCGCGAAGTCTCCTCCCCACACAATCCAGCGTGGATTCCACCAAAATTCCCCTCCACGCTTTTTTGCAGCGGTGGGATCTGGGCTTGGGAGAGGGAGGGAGACGGTGTGGGCAGCGGGGGCTGCGTGGAAATTCGTGTGGGTGGGTAAGTCCAGAGGCAGAAATGCTGTCAGGCAGCGATGGGCTGGAGAGGGGAGGACGGAGGGGATGCAGAGAGACAGATGGACGGACGTGGAGCCCGTGGGATGCTGCGCTGGCAGGAGGATTTGGGTAACGGAGCCAGGGAGCTTCACCGAAAGAGAAAAAAAAAAAAAAAAGTTGGTGAAACTTTTCCTTATTTCATTATTGTCATGGTTTTTAACCCGAGGTACTTTTTCCCTTCGAATGGAGAGAGGAGGAGGGGGGGCGGGAAGAGTCTTGTTCCCCCCTGGGCTCCGGTCTGCTCTGCTCCCCAAATCCTCCCCCCTCCACCCCCGGGAGGGGCGGGGGGAAGCCAACCCGGAGCGGCGGGCAGGACCGGGAGGGGATGGGGTCGGACGGGACGGGACCGGGCGGGGGTCGGACCGGGCAGGGGCCGGGCAGGGCGGGCAGAGCCGTCCGGGAGGACAGCAGT